GTTCTTCAGTGCCCTACGCTGTACATATCCGGCATGGATACACTACAGATTCTCTTTTCCCGATGCAGTTTTTTAATTAATTGCAATGCTAGCAGCGTAATGACGCAGTGTATATTCTACGCTCTTCCAAGTTTTAGATTTTGGGTTTAGACATTTCCATCAGCCGCTTTGGATTTTGTGGTAAGCACCAATTAAATGGCTTAAGAGTCTGTGGCACTGGATCCACTGAATAATTTTTTTCTGAAGCTAGCATAGTTCTTGTATTGTTTTGCTATGCTAGCAGCGTGAACAGGGCACCGACAGTCTGTTTTGCCATGATTGCTACAAGTTAGGGCAAGGGTTAAAGATTCCCATCAGCCAATTTGTATTTTTTAAGTGCCAGATAAATAGTTAAGGACTTTGAGAACTTGGTCCCCTTAAATAATGTTTTACTGAGGTTAGCATTTTTCTTTTTTAGTTCTTTGTAAACTAGCTGAATTACAAGGCATTTAGCGTGTATTCTGCAATAGCAACAATTTAAAGCATTATTTTCTGGACAAAAGGTAGAAAAAGATAGTGCTAATATACCGAACCCTAGAAGTAACACCTCATCAGCCTTCCACCCATAAACACTTTCAGTTGTGTTATCCAGAATGTTAACCTGTGTCTCTCCAATGTAGGCGAAAGCTTCTTCCTATACAACCTGGGATCTCAAACTACCATGCTGCTTCTACTGACTTGAATACATGTAACTTTAAATCTACACTGAATTTACATTTCGGCCTCTTAGCAATCAGGAACTACAGCACTTCCACCACACTAGTTCCACTGCAGTTGTTCAGCAGCTTGGATCCCAGCTTACATCCCTGCTATGGTAGATCTGTGAAAATGCACTTTCAGTTCAGAATATCTACTGTTCCTTTCCTTGTGTATTTTTTATTTTTTAAATATAGGGTAGGTAAAAATGAAATACCCGCTTTGCTTTTAATAGCACACTTGAGTTTTATTAAACATTTGAGAGATAATATTTGTATTTTTCTAAGATCAGCTGCCTCAATATAACAGTTCAACTATTAAAACATAAGGATGTTCACTTTATGTAAGAAAAAGGATTAGAAATAACCAGAGGTGGAAGAAATAATAAGACATTTTACATAAGTAAAAGTAGTAAAAAAGTGTAAAATAGTCATTTATTAAAGTAAAAGTATGGCATTAAAAAATTAAATAAAAAAATTAAAAGTACAAGTATCAAATATAATGAATGTACCAACAACCAAAGTAACTTTTTAGGCATAATGGCAATTTTCAAAATGATACATACTTATATAATTATAATTAGTTATCTATTATGTTAACAACATCATTTTAATTTTGCAGCTGGTAAAGGCGGAGCTAAAGTTAATGAACTATTATACTGTCAAGGACCTTTATCCATAATAATACTCCATGATTAATTTGTCGATTTAAATATTGTATTAACAAATGTACAGTACTTAAGGAAAGTACTTGAGTAAATGTACTTAGTTACTTTTGACCACTGGAAACTACACATAGACACTGTCTTACTTGTGAAGTGGTTGCTATACTGTGTGCATCACTACTGCAGTCTCATTAAAGTATGATTTCTACCACACACATACTCAGACACATGCACACACACACACACACACACACACACACACACACACACACACACACACACACACACACACACACACACACACACACACACACACACACACACACACACACACACACGCACACATACTCTCACACATACTCAGACACTCACACACACACGCACACGCACACACACTCGCACACATACTCCCACACCCACAGACACACACACACATACTCACACACACACACACACACACACACACCCTCACACACACTCACACACGCACACATATACACACACACACACACACAGTGCTCACTGCCCCCCTCACTCTCTCTTCCAGGTCATGCTGTGATCCCAAAATACTACTACGTTCCGGCTGACTTTGTGGAGGCGGAACAGAGCAAGCATGGGAGCCAGAAGCGTTTCCCTAGCAACTCCGGTCGTGATGGGACGATCTTCCTGTGTGGTCAGGCCCTTTACAACATCGCCATGCTGCTGGGTATGCCTCTGTGTGGATGCTTTTCACCCACACATTCATTCTGTTCATTCAATATCAGTCTTTAGCCTCATCAATAATACAAAAGTGCAATGCCTATGAGGTCAAATTTAATGAGATTTATTATGCCAAAAAAAAAAAAAATCGAAATTGTTAAAAATCAATCAATTGGATATGTATTATCTAATGAGAGTAAATATATCTTAATTCCTCACTGACATGAATCCAAGGACAAAGTTTGACGTGTGTGTGTGTTTGTGTTTGTGTGTGTGTGTGTACTGGGGGGTGTATTCTCAAACTCCAGTGGATGAGCTGATCAGCCCTAAAGATATTGATCCAATCCACCGCTACGTTCCCCGCCAAGACCAGCGCAACGTCAGCATGCGATACTCCAATCAGGTAAGCAATTAAATTACCATTGAGCGTCCTTGCTTTTGCTATCTTCTGAACTCTTCTTAAACACTTCCAAAGTTATCATGAATTTTGAATCTTGAATTTTCATATGTACTACAGACATCATTCTCAGTCCAACTTTGGATTGTAGTGCTCCGTGTTAAACTCTTGTTGATGTGACTTCTAAAGAAGTTCAGAGTTTTTGGCATCAAGTAATCCAGACATATACATGTAACAAAAAAAAGATCTGCTGGCTGTTGCTTTACTGGAAATGCTTTTGGCTGTAGAGGGGGTGGAGGACTGCCCACTCATCATTGGAAAAATAAAAGTTTTATGTTTGAAATGTATAAAGCCGTGCAAAGAGGACAACTTTGAAATATATTTGAGTTATATGTTCGCAATTGTAGAGCTTGGAATCTTTAAATCCAAATGCTGTGAAATCATTAACAATCATTTAATTGATTTTTTTCGTATTCAGAACACACTGAGCCTCAAATAATAGCTGAGAACTTTACAAAGACTCTCTTTCCATTGATGATATGAAACACCCTATTTGTCTGTCTATTAGCCAAAAAACACCACTAAGGCAATGAAATCAAACATAAAATCCACATCATTCACCAATATCAAACAGTTTTGAAGTTACATTGTTAAGTTGTTGAAGAGGCCCTTTTAATCTTTTTGGAGCTTTCCCCTTCCTGTAGGTTGTTATACAGTTTTTTTTTTGCATCTACAGTAAATGGTCTGCAAAGGCTTGAATCCCAAAGTTCCCTGCAGAGGGTGCTTCTGTCCAACACACTCTCCCCATGCCTAAAACGCCTTCATTTGACTCCTTTGTTTACTTCCGTAACCTTGTGACATGACTATGTAACACTCGCACTTCAATTGGCTAGCGGCCATTTCTGACACATCTCCAAGCGGTTGACCAATCACAATACAGTCGGCCAGCTAACCAATCAGAGCAGACTGGGCTCTGCTTTCAGACAGAGGTTGAAAAGAGGTGCTGCAGCACAGGCAGTATGAGAAAAATAAAGAGCTTTCTGAACATTAAAGCATGGAGACATGTCACAGTAGAGGAACACAATACAAATGTGAACCTGAAAATTATCATGTCCTCTTTAAATTGTTCTCTTCTAGCTTTACTCATGTTCTTTGACTTTAAGACTCATTTAAGTTGATCCTGCTGAGGGAATTAAGAACAACAACATTTGCAAAAATGAAATCATCTTGCAACCAAGTGTAATCAATGGTTGTATGTGAACATATGTTTTAAACATTATAAAAATCTATAAAAAAAACGA